TTCCCAAAAAAAAAAAAAAAAAAAAAAAGCCATTAATGAACTTCCCTTCTAAGTCACTCCTCAGCCAGAATGTTTTCAAAACAAAGATGTGAAGGCATATCTTTACTTAAAATCGTTCACTGACTCCCCACTGTTATCAGGATGTAATCCAGCCTCCTTATAGTGGCATATAAACCCAACACCTGGTCCACCTCGGCTCTCATCATTGGATCCAAGGGTCCAGCCACATGCAGCCTTCTCTCTGCACCAGGCAGCTCCATGCTCCTGTCCGGTGTCCTCTCTACCTGGAATGCCCAACCCCACCCTGTCACCCCGCTACCTAAAACTTAGGTGTCTCTTCCTTCACTCTGACCCCCAGGCCACTTCCCATGTGCTCGACGGGAGTCCTTACTCTGTGTTCCCTCCCATAGCATGTTGTGCTTCCTCCATCACAGCACTTAACACCCTGTAATCATCTTTCTACATAACTATCTTCCCCACTAGAATAGGAGCTCCTGGAAGAAAAAACTGTGTTTCTTATCCTGGTAGCATTAAAACCTACTAGCACCATGAGTGAATGGTGAATCAACTGACCTGGATGCTAGAGAATATCATATCAGATACAGGTACTAAGAGCTACTCATGTGGCAATAACTAATGGAGTTTGGAGAGATAAAAATAGTCAAAATAAAATATTCTAGTCTGCAACATGGCAAAATGAGAACCAAAAGTGGCAGGTGCTTAATAAAGGTTGGTGCCTTTCCCAGCCTCCTGGTTTTCCTGAGTCGTAGAGTTTAGTTCACCAAAGCAGACAGACTTTCTCTCCAGCTGAAATCGCTTGGGACTCTGGGCAGGGCAGGCTGAGGAAGGAAGAGTGAGGAACCTAACCACAGTATGCACTGGACACTCGCTCTGGCTACTGTAAGGTTCACAGCAAAGTGGAAGTAAATGTGCTCATCAAGCTAGTCGTGTTGCCCTAAAGTCAGAAAACATGAATTACTCCTTCCTTACCTTGCTTGGTGATCTGAAAAGTCTTCTTGCTGCAAAGGACGACAGCTTGAAGCATCTCATGGGGAGACACATGTGCCTTGAAATTTCGAGGGTTCCAGAGCTTTCTCATCAGCTCTCCAAAACGCTGGACCAACAAGAACATGATATCCCCAGGAGGACGCTTGATGTTCTTATAATTGTCTTCTTCCAGGAAGTAGTTTCGGAGAGGAGGAACGTTAGACAGAGCCTGGAAATCAAACAAACACTCCAATTAATCCACAGCCATTCTTCAGGACCCCTGGGAGCCAAGCTCGTCCACCTAAAGGTCTTCTAATAGAACTGTGCCTGTGATGTCTTAAAGAATCAGAAGCAAATGCACTCCCAGAGAATCCCCCCCCAGAGTTCACATTAGAGAAACATCCTTTATAGTGAGTTTCACAGAAAGTTCAGTTCTGCAGACACTCTGCTAACGTGGGTATAACAAAGGAGTTTTAAAATAAAGGTATTCAGGCTTCCCTGGTGGCGCAGTGGTTTAGAGTCCGCCTGCCGATGCAGGGGACGTGGGTTCGTGCCCCAGTCCGGGAGGATCCCACATGCCCCGGAGCGGCTGGGCCTGTGAGCCATGGCCGCTGAGCCTGCGCGGCGTCCGGAGCCTGCGCTCCGCAGCGGGAGAGGCCACAACAGTGAGAGGCCCGCATACCGCAAAAAAAAAAAAAAAGGTATTCAAATCCCTATCTGCTGACCAACTTAACTAAAAATTTCCTTTGTTTACTCTAATTTACTCTGTTTACTCTAATTTCCTTTGTTTACTCTAATTAGACCTGTGACTATGTTTGGACTCACAGGAACTGAAGGCTAGAAACCCAGATACTCTTTCTTCACCATGTATTTGGCTGGGGCAGAGAGAACTATCAGGAGACCACAGTTCCCCCATCTCTCAACTGTACATTAAAACAATATGAAAAACATCTTAGTAAAACCTGGTGTCTTCCCCAAATGTGGTATTGAGAGGGTGGTAATAAAATGATACAGGGACTTCCCTGGTGGTCCAGTGGTTAAGACTCTGCACTTCCACTGTAGGGGGCACAGGTTTGATCCCTGGTTGGGAAACTAAGATCCCATGTTTTGTGCCACGGCCAAACAAAAAAAGAAAACAAAACAAAACGATACAACTGTATATAAAAATGAATGTACTCTGTTATGATGGAAAATAGTTAAAAGGTTTAAGAGAACAAAAATTAATTTTATCTCATTAAGCAAAAAGATAAAGACCAGCCATGTTAGTTCAAGAAGAAACACATGCTTATTAGTGTGAGTTATGAAACTGGGAAGGAGACCACAGAACAGACCCTAAATAAATGCATAGTCTCCCCACAGGTCCCTCCTGATGGGTTCATGAATCCTCGTCAGTGCTATGCTTACCATGAGCACAACTTTCTTTGACAAGGTAATTCCTTTAGCAAGGATAGAAGGATGCTGTTAAACACAATTAAACCCAGGTGTCTCTGGGGAAGACCCAGGTATCTCTGGGGAAGACAACTCAGGATGCAACTCGGGGTAACGATAGAGGTGATCAGGAAAGCCGCTACAAGCTTAGCTCAACTGAAGAAACAAGGATTTCCTGCTTAGAGTTACTCTCAAAAAAGGAGAAGCATATGGATAGTTTATACTAATTCTTGGTTATCCATGCTGTGGAGAGAGGTTGCTCCCTGGTTTCAGCAACAATACAAGCAGCAGGTGTCCTCGGAGAGAAATTATTCAGCCTCCAGGTGGAGTACTTGGTCCTTTCAATCCCATTTTAGTGGAAACATCACAAAGGATTTGTTCATCTCCTTGTTTGTATAAATAGAAGTCCAATGCACTATTCATCGCGCTACAGAGCCAGGTGATCGACTTATTTGTATAAATAAAGAGAACTTCCTATGGGGACTGAAACCCATCACAAAGCCAAAACTAACTGCCCTGCCCATATCCAAATCCTATCTGTCCATCCTGTAACAGTCTTCACAAAGCCACGAGAGGCTGTAAGAGGAACAGTCCGCAAAGTCTCTCTCCACCTAAGAATTTGACCTCTCCAGGGACCAGGCATGACACCAATGGCAGACACCAAAATTCACAGATATACTTTTACAGTTTTTTACCAAACTCTTCACGCAAAAATATCACGAACAAAGTTTAAAGGCCAAAAAAGAACTAGAACGAAATATGTGCAACATATGCAAAAAAAAGGCCTATATATATGTATACTTTTTTTTTCAAATTTGAACATCTGATTTTTTTTAACATCTTTATTGGAGTATAACTGCTTTACAATGGTGTGTTAGTTTCTGTTTTATAACAAAATGAATCAGTTATACATATACATATGTTCCCATACCTCTTCCCTCTTGCATCTCCCTCCCTCCCACCCCTCTAGGTGGTCACAAACCACCAAGCTGATCTCCCTGTGCTATGCGGCTGCTTCCCACTAGCTATCTATTTTACATTTGGTAGTATATATATGTCCATGCCACTCTCTCACTTTGTCACAGCTTACCCTTCCCCCTCCCTATATCCTCAAGTCCATTCTCTAGTAGGTCTGTGTCTTTATTCCCGTCTTACCCCTAGGTTCTTCATGACTTTTTGTTTTTTCTTAGATTCCATATATATGTGTTAGCATACGGTGTTTTTCTCTTTCTGACTTACTTCACTCTGTATGACAGACTCTAGGTCCATCCACCTCACTACAAATATCTCAATTTCGTTTCTTTTTATGTCTGAGTAATATTCCATTGTATATATGTGCCACATCTTCTTTATCCATTCATCCGATGATGGACACTTAGGTTGCTTCCATCTCCTGGCTATTGTAAATAGTGCTGCAATGAACATTTTGGTACATGACTCTTTTTGAATTATGGTTTTCTCAGGGTATATGCCCAGTAGTGGGATTGCTGGGTCACATGGTAGTTCTATTTTTAGTTTTTTAAGGAACCTCCATATTGCTCTCCATAGTGGCTGTATCAATTTACATTCCCACCAACAGTGCAAGAGTGTTCCCTTTTCTCCACACCCTCTCCAGCATACTTTCGAGCCCTGGTCCGGGAGGATCCCACATGCTGCAGAGCAACTAAGCCTGTGCACCACAACTACTGAGCCTGCGCTCTACAGCCCATGAGCCACAACTACTGAGCCCGCGTGCCACAACTACTGAAACCCGCGCCTAGAGCCCGTGCTCCGCAACAAGAGAAGCCACCACAATGAGAAGTCCACACACCACAACGAAGAGTAGCCCCCGCTTGCCGCAACTAGAGAAAGTCCGCACACAGCAACCAAGACCCAATGCAGCCAAAAATCAATAAATAAAATACATTAAAAAAAAATGGAAAAAGTTTTTTTCAGTGCTAACAGTGACAATGCAAGATGAAGAACACCCTTTTGGAAACGCTCCTACACTGTTGGTAGGAATGTAAATTGGTGCAGTCACTATGGAGAACAGTATGGTGGTTCCTTAAAAAGCTAAAAATAGAGCTACTGTATGATCCAGCAATCCCACTCCTAAGCATGTATCCGGAGATAACTATAATTCGAAAAAACACATGCACCCCAATATTCATAGAAGCACTATTTACAACAGCCAAGACATGGAAACGAGCTAAATGTCCATCAACAGATGAATGGATAAAGATGTGATACATACACAGACACAGACACACACACACACACAGACACTGGAATGTTACTCAGCCACAAAAAGAATGAAATAATGCGTTTTACAGAAACATGGATGGACCTAAAGATTATCATACTAAGTGAAGTAAGCCAGAAAGAGAAAGACAAATACCGTATGATATCACTTACATGTGGAATCTAAAACACGACACAAATGAACTTATCCATGAAACAGAAACAGACTCACTGACATAGAAAACTTATGGTTACCGAAGGGAAAAGGGTGGGGGAGGGGATAAATTAGGAGTTTGGGATTAGCAGGTACAAACCACTACATATAAAATAGATAAATAAGGTCCTACTGTATAGCACAGGGAACTATAGTCAATATTCTGTAATAAACCATGATGGAAAGGAGTATGAAAAAGAATATATATATATATACGTATGCATAACCGAACCCTTTGCTGTCCACCAGAAACTAACACAACACTGTAAATCAACTATACTTCAATAAAAAAAAAAAGAAAAACAGCCTTTTGTGTTGCTGGTGGGTTTGTAAATTGCCACAAACCCCCTACAGCCTAGAATCTAGGCCCAAGGTACATTAATACAAGAAGAAGAGAAGGTTAAATAAATTAAATTCAACAAAATGGACTGACATGTAAACATTAAGGATGCTGCGCAAGAATATTTATTGATTTCATAATACGCTTTTAGGTTAAAATACATACAAAGATACGTATACATACTACATTACTTTATAGATAAAAAAATACAAATATTTTTCAAGTCTAGAAAAGAAATGTAACAAAACGTAAGTGTCACAAGAAGTGCAAGACTATATATAGAGAGAAGAATACTCACTGCAACACTGGTAACAGAAATAAAAATGTGAGACAAGTGAAATTTTATGTATCAATTGGGAAATAACAAAATAAACCATAATACTGCCACATGACAGGATATAATGCATTTGTGTACATGCGTTTACAATAAAGTTCTGGAGGTCTCTATACTGTTAACTACCCCAGGACAGAGTACTAGGGAACGAAAGGAATGAAGCTTTTGTTTTATACTTTCTATATCTTCCCCCTACACAAGGGCTTGTTTATAGTTTTTTTTAACCAGTTTTTGAGTGAAGTAGGATGATTATTTATTTTCTTATGCTTACCAATGTTTTCTAATTTTTCTACAATATGCGCACATTACTTGTGTAATTTTTTTAAAAAGCAAAACAACTGCAAACAGGACAACTTTGGCTTTCTGCCTTTCCCAGTGCAGGACTTCAGCACAGGGGCAGGACAGAGACATCACAGAGCCAACACAATGAACATCTGCACCATGAAAAGAAAAAGCATCATCTAGCTCACATGTCTCTTACTTGGTATTGCAGGCCCTGCGCAGCTCCATCCCCCATTCCCTGGAAGCTCCAGAGGCTGGAACAGGCCCACCATTTGGCGGCAGCCCCTCAAGCAGACAGGATTGTTCTGCTTGGGGCAGAACAAACACCCAAGAAGAGTCCTTGGCAAGACTCGGGGTCTGAGGACCACCTGGCTGCATTCCACCAGAAGGCAGCTGTTTCTTAGCCAAGCTCCACAGTGTTCCCGGGTTACCCCCTCCCTCATGGTTCCCACCTCCGACCTACCTGAAGGACGGCATTGGCGTAGTCGTTGGCCTTTATGTTATTCAGGCCGACGATACCGGGCAGGTAAGTGGTGCCATCATATGCCCGGGACAACTTGGCTTGCTTGTCCAAGTTAGCGATCTGCTGCTTTGTGAAAGTGGGCTTCAACACATACTGCAAAGCAAAACAAAATCCTAGGCTGTTTTAGGGCAGTCTACAGAGTTCACAAGATATATCCGCAACAGCAATTTCTGCCAAAAGAAAAGATACTTTGGTCGTGAACGTCTCACCACCCACCCACAGGGCTCCCAACAGTAGGCCTAAGGACTGAGGTAACATGGAATGGGCCCGCTCCACGTTGCTCATCTAGAAGGTGATCTCTGTGTTTTCACCCAAAGTCACTGAATCCCAGGCCTGTCCTCAGACCTCAGGTCCAGCCAAACCCATGACAAAAAACAGGGAGAAGCTGCAGGACACTCAAGTCTGCAGGAGGCAGGAGTCTGAGTCCCAGGTGGGACCTCACACAGAGCCAGCACACAGGCCCGGTGCAGGAACAGGAGTTTCACCTCCTATCTGTGCAGGACTGAGATCTCAGGACTCCCTGTGGCTGGAGGGGCAGGATCAGAACCTTCCCTGTCCTAGACCTATGAGGGTCACCATGTCACACACTGGTCAGAGGTCGCCACTAACTCACTTTGAAAGCTTGAATTCCTTTCAGTTTCTCCATCTATAAATACTGTCCTTAACCACTTTAACTTCAACGTTAATAGACTGTTATAAAACTTATGGAAGTGGAGTAAGTAGTGTTTCAAATACTCTGAAAACCAAGCTTTCCTTAATAAATAGAGCATTCAACTCTATTGAACATGCAGCCACTGCTGAAAAGGAAAGCAATAATCAACAGTTCCAACAGTAATCAAAGCCCAAGAGGACTTTCCATACTCCCCACTTAAGTGCAGTGACTCTTGGCACAGGTCACAAACCAGAGCCCACAGATAGACATGTTGGCCATTCTGGCAGCATCATGTCAAAAGCAGCCCGAAGCTGGTATACCTCTTGGCATCCACTGTCCTACAGCAGGCCCAATTCACATCCCTACTCCAAAATATGGAAGGATAGTTTATTTCACAAAAATGCTTTCACCCTAATTGAAAAGTAGCAATATTTCTTCAGTCCTAACCCTCAGCATTAAAAACAGAAGTTAGAGCTAGGCTGCAGACCAAGGGCCAAAATTATGGATTGTGACCTCCGTACTCTGTTTCCCTGGTTCCTCCCAAGGCAAAAGGAGCCTCTCGAAGCCCAAGGGACTGAGACTCTTCCCTGACCTTGGGTGGGGCAGATCCTCAGGAGCCCTGGGGTGGCTCCCAGGATAACTAGTTCCAAACCAACCCTCTTGGAGACGCACCGTGATATCCTCCAGGGAGGAATCGATGATCTCATAGTTGTCTGGGAGGCAGTAAAACTTGAGGGTGTGGAGGTTAAGGAAGACATGGTGACTAAACTGGACACTGTGAATGTAGGCATGAGACTTCAAACCCCGGCCTGTAGGGAAGAGTGAAAGGCTATGAGAGAAGGGCAGACTCCATAAGCACACAGATGAGGGGTAATTTTCCTTTCGTTATTTTGTACCAGAACATGTTAGTATCAGCAAAAACAAAGTACTATGCCATCCACGAAAGGAATCTCCCACATGAACTCTTCTCATCACAAAAATCAGCAAGAAAGAATAGCGTGTTATCTTTATTCCCTAGATGGCACAAGACATAAGGGAACTAATTTCATATACATGAACATAGAAAATATGTGTGGGTGTATTTGTGTGTGTGTATATGTGTGTCTGTGTGTGTGTATATATATGCATGTTTATGTATATGAGCTAGTTTCAGGTATTAGAAACTAGGAATATCCATGTATATATTATATACATGTACGTACATGCATACACTGATTTGCACATACACACGTACGTATCTGTGACAGTCCATCATCACTTAGTCCTGAGTTTTCAACTGTCCACATTCACGACAATCCTGTACCTACATACTTTTGTTCACGTTGCCACTCCTTTCTAGAGCATCTCACCCTTAACCTATTCAAACTCTATGTCCTGCATACAGAGTACAAGTTCCACCTCCTCCATGAACTCTACACAAACACTCCAGCTAACAATGATCTTTGCATATTTCAACTCCTATCATCCTTATTTATACTCAGCGCCACACAGTCCAGCAGTAATCTTTATGGTCTTAAGAGAGTTTGCTGATTGTTTTACGTGTTAACCTTGACGGTTTATAAGATCCTTATTAGAGCAAAGAATGTAGTTTATAATTCTTTTGAATCCTCCACTATACTGTGTACAAAGCATTTGCTTGCCCTGAATGAACTGAAATAATAAATTTCCAGAAAAGAACAGAATGAAAAAGTCCTTAGAGTAAAAGGATCCTCAGAAAAAGACATAAGTATAGAAAACATCAGAGATTCAAAAACCCAGAGTCTCTGATACTTCCTACATAGTCTCTCATATGGCTAGTTCTTTCTTCCTTTCACATGTATTCAGGTTCTGACCAATCAGAGAACCTCCTGTGGATTTTCTAAGAGTATTCCAACTTCCTGGGAACAAAGATAGGGCTTATTAGACATGACTCCTAACAGCAGCTTACTTACTTTAAAAAAAAATCCCTGAACAGAACTGTGGCTAGTGCTGAAAATGTGATGCAAAACATTTATTTACCCTGAAAGTACTTGCCACACACCAGACAGGCATATGCATTGATATGCGAGAGGGAGATGGAACACAGTTTCTCAAAGTCAAAGTCCAGCACACTCCTAAGAGAACCAAAACAAAACAGAAACAATTAATAGGGATGGCTGCCTAGGTGAGCACCTGAGCAAAGCAGTGTCCCTGGCTCCCTGTTCTGCACTCACACAGCTGCCTTCAGAGAACAGTTCAACAATCACATACAAACCGTGGGGAACATTAACTCTTCCTTACCTAGGCATTTAATATAGCACCGCCACCCACCAAGCCCCAAAGCAGTGCAAAGGTATCTCCACCAACGACCCTCTTTCTTTTGAGTATTCACAACCAGTTGAGAATCTTCCATTACTTTCTCTGGAGGAAAAGCCACAAGTAGGACTAAAGTAACAGGGCCCCAACAGCATTCCAAATTAAAAGACATTAAAGGAAGGACATAAAAAGAGTGAATAAACCCTTTCATAAAAGAAAATTTTATTTTTGTCTATAAAAATAAATGGGAAGTCTGAAGAACTTTAGGGGAATACCTACAAACAGATCTATCTATTCAAGTGCAAAGTAATGGTATATGAGTACTGGGCGGGTTAAGTGATAAAAGAAAATTTACCTCCACTGAATTCACAGGTGGCAAGGGGATTCATTCTCAAGCATTAACTCTAATTAATTGGTAATGGTCCCAGGAAAGCTGCACTGTCAGTTAAAGGGGCCACTAGCCACCCACGGCTACTGGTGTTTAAAAGTAAAATAATTAAAATTAAACAAAATTTAAAATTCAGTTCCTCAAGCCACATTTCAAGTGCTCAATATCCACAAGTAGCCTGTGCCGACCACAATGGACAGCCCTTACAGAGCAATTCCATTGTTGCAAAAAAGTCTATTAGACAGTACCACCCTAGGGCATAAATGAAAAACCATCCTAAAATGCACCTGGGATCAAAGAATACCAAGATGCAGTAAACACCTCTGCTTTAGGATATATTTTTTTCTGATTTTCCTCTGCTGAATCCCAGGCACCTAGAGTAGTACCTAGCACACAGTCAGTGCTCAATAATATTTAAATTTGCTATTGTCATCGACACCACATATCCCTTTATTTCCTCATACAAATTCAAAGTGAGCTAAAAGCTCTTTCTGAATATGCCCACCCTAAAACAACATGCTCTCTGACACTTTAAATTGAAGAGCAAAGATTTAAAAACAAGGCAAGAAGCACAGTTTTCTGGGCAGAAAGCTTTAAAAGAGATAAAGTTCTGGAACGTATTTTTAACGTACAGTCCAAAGAACTTTCTGCAGAGACTCCACTGTTCTTTTGCTAACCTAGGCATTCGCTCCTACGATCCTCAGAATCCATGCGGCCATTCTTTGCTGAAAGGAAAAGCATCAAAAGCTCTGAAAATGGGAAACCCATACTCAGGGTCAACTACCAGTACAAACAGACACAGAAATGGGAAAAATTAATCAGGATGAGCTCCTGTACAGGCAGCCTGACAACACCAAAAAAGCCCACTTAACGGAACAGGACACAAACTGAGAGAATATACTTGAAACACATATAACCAACAAAGGAATTGCTTGCAATTACATAAAGAAATCTGGTGGAGATCAAAAAAAAACAAAAAAAAAAAACACACAACCCAAAAGGAAATGAGGAAGACAGCCCTCAAACTTATGAAAAAATGCTGGGAATTCCCTGGCCATCCAATGGTTAGGACTCTTGTGCTTCCACTGCAGGGGGCTGGGGTTCATCCCTGGTTGGGGAACTAAGATCCTGCAAGCTTCACAGCATGGCCAAAAAAAAAGAAAGAAAGAAAGAAAAGATGCTCAACCTCACCAGGAATCAAGAACATGCAAATTTCCTTGCACAATGATATACCACTTCACACCTACCAGAGAGGAAAAAATAAAATCAGGCAATTCCAAGTGTTGGCAAATATGAACAATGAGAATGCTCATGTAACTGCTGGTGGGAGTATCAACTGTTACAACCTCTCAGAAAATAGTACAGCAAGATCAAAGCTGAAAATACACAGACCTTTTGGCCCAGCAATCTCTCTTCTACTTATATACCCTAGAGAACTTTTGCACATGTGCCATCAGGAATGCTTTACTAAAGAATATTTATAGCAGCAATATTTGAAAGAGACCAAACTGGAAACAACCCAAATGTCTACAACATATAAAAATGGGAGGAATACATTTTGGTATATCATCAATAGAACACTGTGTTGCCATGAACATCTTACCCGGATAAACCTCAACAATATGGCTAGCGGAAAAAAAAAAAAAAAGGCAAAAGAGAAGACAACATATAGTATGATTCCATTTAAATAAAATTCCATCAAAATAAAATACGGTTCTACTCAGGGACGTATACGTGAGGTAAAACTGTAAATAATAAAATAATAAAAGTAGAAATGATTAGAAAAAATTCAGTGATTACCCAAGCAAGCAAGGAAGGCAGATGCAACTGGGAAGGGGCCTATGGGAGCTTCTAAGGTACTGGTTAAGTACCACTTCTTAAGCTGCACAGCATCGGGAGGCAACTCTCCATGGGTCTCTCAAACTTCTGCACATATTGTGACCAGAGGCACTGACTGCCTCCAGACTATCTTGTCAAAGTTGTTTGTATAACGAAGTTTGTTTCTATAGCTTTGGAAGTAGGAGACAGTGTGTCCCTACAGAGCAAAGGGGAGGCAAGCTCACAGCCCATTACAGAAGATTTGGGTTCTCTAAGCTCAGAGTTCTTGTTCTGTGAGGCCACCCACTGTGTGTATGGGTTCTCATCGTGTTGCGCTGTGGGAACTGACTCAGGGAAGTGACAATGCTATATTCTGGCTACTGTTATTGCTGCAATAAGCTGTCTCAAGCCCAATAGCTCCATGTCTTCCATCAGCATCCATGAAACCACGGCAGGCTAACTTGGTAGTGTACAAAAAGGGTAAAATCTCAGACCCTTCACAATTCTTGATAAGTGGTAGATTTAAGGATATATATCCACAATCTTCTTTAAACTATACGTGTGCTTGACATTTAGCTCATCTTAGTACCTATAATCTATTTCATGAAAAAAATAGAAGGGAAAAAAGAAAACGGCAGTAACCTCAACTGGGATCCCAGTGTGTCCCAGAGAAAACAATCTCCTTACCATAAGTATACAAAATATCTAAGAAACAATTTCTCTTCCAAAGAAAGGGAAACGTGAGGCTGACAGAATACTTAAGTAAAGGAAATCAAAGAACACCCTGAAATATTAACTAGATTATTCAAAGAACATTTATCAAGCACTTTCCACAAGCAAGGTGCTAATCTGGACCCTGAGGGTAATACAAAAGTATGTCAAACACAGGACCCTCAGCTAGAAATTTAAGAGTTAACATAAGAGTATAATTTTATATAGATAACCAGGTGCAGAGACAGAATTATAAAATCCTGGAGAATGAAGACCACCACCCCCCCACAATGAACACTGCCCCTAACATGTAGCCTTGTGATATGTTCACCTGCTAACTCACCAGAAAACAAGTACATAGGAACATGTTCAAAGCAGAAGTTCCAAGTTCAGAGAAGGAAAAGATGTAACTGAGGTAAACAGGAAAAGCTTCAGAAGTGATAGAAACCTACTCAATGACTGGTAAGATATCAACAAGTTGGAAGAGTGTACACACTACAGAGTACCACGGCTTGGCCAAGAAGTCTCCAGAAATTACTAAGAGAAGCAGAATAAGTCCAGCAGAAAAAGGCAGAGAGTACAGTCATAGATGGGAACTGACAGACTCACTGGCTTATTAGGGCTCTCAAAGGTCATGGGTTCCAGGACTCCTTCCGTTAACCTAGAGAGGGACAGACACGTGAAAATCACTTTCCCAAACTACCGTGACTCAGTCTCAGAGGCAGGGCTAGAATCCATATCTCCTGGCTGCTACAGCCCTGGATAACAGGGCAGTGTGGTCCAAGTGCACAGCGTTCAGGCTCTCCGCTCAGAAATTTCAGCAGGACTCACTCCTCAGGTATTTTATAAAAAACTAAAAAGAAGGAACACCTGTAAAACAATTAGCACAGCGCCTGGCCCGCATTAGACATCCGATAAAGGAAAGCTACCTGTTCTTATTACTGTTAGAAATGCTATAGCTACGATCCTGATCAAGACTAGTACTATCCTCATTAAAACGGAGTCGGGTCGCGAGTGGAGTGTGACTTCCTCGTGGGGAGAGAAGGTTGGAAAAAGAAGAACGCGAGAGTGGAACCCGCGCCCGGCCCCGCGCACCTCGCACCTCCCGCTCAGGCTCCGAGTCCTCGTCGGCCTCGCGCTCCCGCTTCACCCGCACCGCCGGGACCACGGGCGCCAGGGCCTCGCGCGCGCTCGCCGGCTCGACCTCCCGCTTCACGCGCACCGGACTGCCCCGGGAGCTCGGAGCCTCGGTCTCCCGCTCCCGATCTCGCTCCCGTCTGACACGAGCCGAGCTGCTCCGCGACTCAGACTCGCGCTTCCCGCGGGTGGATCCACGAGACTCCCGCTTGGACCGGCCGGACATCGTCACTACCGGCCGAGCAGCCCGGCGCAGACTCCAGGGAAGACCGAGCACGCGGCAAGCGGCCAATCAGGAGCGGCGCTGTTATCAAGCACAAGGTTTTCTACGAGTCGCCGATGGGGACAAATCACGCCGCAGAGAACTTCTGGGAAGTACTACGCCTCTTGGCGGGGGGGGGGTGGGGTGGGGGGGGGTGGGGGTGGGGGTGGGGTCTTTACGGGTGCGCGCGCACCTGAGACCGATAGGCGGGCCTACTGCCACTTTACTCATTATTACCAGCTTAGAGAGGCGGGAACCTTTCACTGGCTGCGGAAATTCTGGATAGAAAAAGTTGTCATTGGGCCCCAGGTGTCTTCAAGATACTCTGTGTCCCCAAACCAGAATTGGCAGGTCGTCTCCAGTCTCCGAGCCTCGGAGACCGACGGCCCTGCACAAAACTAGGCGACATCCCCAAGTCATCGCCTTCGTGGAGCAATCCGACGGCTCTAATTCCACATTTAGAGGATTGTTCTTGGTATCACAGAAAAATGCAAACGACGAGCAGAAGGAGACTAGTGACGCTAATAAAGCTCAAGCTTCAGGGTCTGTGACTTTCACGACCCCTTCCACAACCCTGAACTATTCAATACTTCGTACAGTTCTACGGAGGTGTGATTGACATACAATAAAATTCACGTTTAGGGCTTCCCTGGTGGCGCAGTGGTTGAGAGTCCGCCTGCCGATGCAGGGGACACGGGTTCGTGCCCCGGTCCGGGAGGATCCCGCGTGCCGCGGATTGGCTGGGCCCGTGAGCCGTGGCCGCTGGGCCCGCGCGTCCGGAGCCTGTGCTCCGCAACGGGAGAGGCCGCAACAGTGAGAGGCCCGCGTACCACAAAAAAAAAAAAAAAAAAAAATTCACGTTTAAAGTGTGCAATTTGCTGAATACTGATAGAGGTATGTATACACTCTGAAACCACCACCACAATCAAGATAATGAATCTAACCACCATCCACCAAAAGTGTCCCCGGCCCCGACCATTGATCTGCTTTCTGTCGCTAGAGATCAGTGTCACTTGCTTGAGTCTTATATAAATGGAAGCACCCAGAGAGTCCTCTTTTTATCCCCGGCCTCTTTCACTCGGCGTATTTGTTTTGAGTTTCATCCAAGTTGTTGAGTGCTCGTTCCTTTTGATTGCTCAGCGGCATCCCACTGTGTGGATGTACCAGTCTGTCCCTGTTCTAATCACGGATTCCTACTTTTGTCTCTTTTTAAAGAGGATTCAAAAATGGCACAGGCTCAGACGCCTGAAAGACCCTGGGTCCTCCCACGCCGAGAGTTAAGACATCGGTCCGGTGGGCGCCGAGACGAGCTGGGCAGCGGGAAAGTCCGCAGAGCTCTGGTGCTGCGCGGGCTGGAAAGAGCGTCCCCGCCGGCGGGCTGGGCTGGGCGGCCGGGGCGCCGCTGTGTGCCCTGCCCTGGCACTCGCCTCCACACGATCTCTTTGGAGGTAGGTTGATATCAGTGCCCCCATTTACAAATGAGTAAACTGAGACACAGCAGGGTGCAACAGTTAGCCAAGGTCACGCAGCTGGTGATGGAGTTTCACAGCACCCAAGCACAGGAAAAAGGACGGGAAGGCTCCACACCGAACGCTGAGTGGTGTGATGGGTGCTTTGTGTTTTTCTGGATTTTCTGATGTAGCAGCACTAAGCCTAAATCCTGGTTTCCTACTGATAATGTCACAACGAAAGGAAAGCCCCGCCCCGGAGTGGAAGTTGCGCATGCCCCATTGCCCCCGCCCCGCCTGCTCCAGGAACTCCGCGCGCTGGGACATTCGGCCTGGCTGGCGATTTCCCGACCGACTTCAGGGCGCAGGGTCGAAAGTCGAGCGAGGAGGGGCGCGGAGCTCTCGGGGCAGGAGGGTGGCAGTTGGGGCCGTTGAGGAGGCGGGGGCGGCGGCGGCGGCGGCGGCAGCGGTGGCTGCGGCTCCGCGCACAGGGACTCTAGATGGAAGCGGCGCCGGGGCCCGGCCCCGGTCTCTGCTGCAAGCCTGGCGGGCGGCTGGACATGAGCCACGGCTTCGTGCACCACATCCGACGGAACCAGCTCGCCCGGTACCGCCCCGCCCCGCGCCACGGCTGCCAGCCCCAGCCTGGCCTAGCCCGGCCGCCCCTGACTCCCACTCGGCTCCCCGCAGGGACGACTACGACAAGAAGGTGAAGCAGGCGGCCAAGGAGAAGGCGAGGAGGCGGCACACGCCCGCGCCCACTCGGCCCCGAAAGCCCGACCTGCAGGTGTACCTGCCGCGACATCGAGGTGAGGCCGCCCGCCCCGCGCGCTCTTCTGCCCCTGGGCCCTCTGCCTCCACGCGCTCTTCTTTTCTGTCTGGGAAAAAACTATGTCCTAGCTCCCAAGGCTCATTTCATCTCCAACGTCTATCTCGACGCTCCCCAATCGCCGCTCAGTGATTCTGTCCGCAGCACAGGGAGGGCTCAAGGCCCGCAGTTAAGCATCACTATTACCGGACGTCCCTGAGAGTCGGCAAGTTGACCGCCGCTTTGCCCCCAGCGTACTATTTTTTCGCACTCCCACCAGCTAACAGGAAAAAAGTTTGGCACAGCTCTAGGCGACGAGGACATAATTGTGGAATGAAGCCCAAACCCAGTTAATGGGTTTTTTTCCCCAGCTTACTTGTGATCTAGAGATTACAGTAGTTAATGTGTGATGCTAAATTTGCTGAGCTTCCCTTATGAGTGTTTTTAGAGGTTATGTGCAGTCATTCACTTAGCTTTCAGAGGACCCGGTAAGATGGGAACTATTATCATTTCTGTTTCACGGTCAGGGAAACAGGCAGAGAGAGGTTTCGTAACTTGTTGGAGGTATCAGAGAAGTAAATGGCAGAGCCTGGATTTGAACCCAGGCAGAGCCCTATTCACCTCTCCACTACCTTACAACCGTGTAGACAGATGTGCATTGTATACCGACTGCGTGGTAGGACTGTGCTGGTCCTGGGGCAGGGATACAAAGGTGAATAAAATTCCTGATAGGCGGCTGATTTCACACACACACACACAGAGGTACGTTCTGGGTCCATGAGAAGACTGGGGCTTTACAATATGTTTTCCTGTATCATCTCTGGGCAGTGGTTCCAGCAGCCTTCCTGCCTTCCCTCTCCCTCTCACTCTGGTTCATCCTTCCAGATGGCTCTACCCACCCAAGCAACCCAGGCTGTGAGGAGTCTGGTGAAAGCAGCAGTAGTGGCAGCTCTGAGCCAGAGCTCCCTGGCCATCAGCTCTTCTGCTTAGAATATGAGGCGGACAGCGGAGACGTCACTTCAGTTATCGTGTATCAGGTACGCCCGATGGAAACAGCTGCAGCCTGAAGGTCCTGGGCCGTGATGGAAATCACTGCCGGACCTGGAGCCACTGTTTTCCTCAGGGCCAGTGGGAAGTGTTTGTTCCACATGATAGCACAGACTGCTGGGCGATGCTTTTGAGCACAAGTCACTCCCGTCACACAGTGATTCTCAGCGGGCAACAGGGAAGGCTCATGGCCCCCAGTTGAGAGTCACTATTACAGGGGACACCTGGGAAATGACAGGCATTGGCAAGAAGCTGTGAGTCAAACAGAGTTCTCTGAGAGTGTTGTCTAGGGACAGGGCAGGTCGCCTTTTCAGAAGAGGCCAGGCCCTGAGCTTCCTGACCCTTCCTCCACGTAGGATGATGATCCAGGAAGGGTGAGCGAGGAGGTGTCAGCACACACGCCTCTGGAGCCACCCATGCGAGAGGCCCTCAAGTTGCGCATCCAGGAGGAGATTGCAAAGCGCCAGAACCGACACTGACCAGACTGGAGTCGCTGTCCAGGGAGCCGCCCCTAGTTTGGGGGTGCCAGGACCAGTCTGAGCTGATCTTGAGGACTGGCCCCGCCCCCCACCCCAGAGCTGCCACATCCACAGGAAAAGGGTGTCACAGGGACTACGCCTGGCCACCTCCCTTGTAGCCATTCTTTCTCGTATATTGGCCCATTTGACCAGCCTAATGTTCTGGACGTTTTTGAGAATTTTGTTTGGTTAGCTTGGTGTTCTGGAAGTAAAGATTCCGGGGAGAGATGAGGCTTATGAGACCTTCTGCCAACGTGCTGCTTTCTCACCAAGGTCATGTGCCCCAGGGCATCTGACCACGCTGCTCCGCCCAGCTCCATAAGCCCCGTTTGTTATTTTATGGTTCCTGTCTTCTGTGTTTCTGTTCACTTCCATCCGTGCTCTCCTAGATCATCTTTTCAGCTCTGTTTCTTTGTTCTTTTCTTTCCTTCATCTTTCTTGTCTCCCAATCCATCAGTCCCACCCCCGCCCCCCACCTCCCAGTGTGACTGCTCACCTATGGATGCTCAGGACTTTGGAGATGGGGTTCTGGGGTCTACCTTTCTGACAAGCTCTCCCAGTAATTCTGATACCAGTCAAGGGAGATGATCTTTGACGCCTACTTGTGAGCATGTCTTCCTCCCCTTCCGTGGTTTTTACAGGTTTCTCCCCTGCTCCACCGCTTCACACAGTCTAGGTAAGGAGATCTAGAAAGATGATGCCAGGACTAAACTGTGAGGATTTCTTGCAGCAAAACCTGCCAGGGTTCCGACTACAGAATTTCCAGCTTCCAGCCTCATCCCTAGCTGTGAACAGACCATCCTCTGCTCAGGCTAAAAGGGAATTATCAAAACAAGCCTGAAACCGTGTTTCCAAATGTGATTTAACAGCCTTGAATGTACATACAAAGGGAAATTCAATATTAGCAATACTTGCCTGTTTCAAGCCCTAGTTGGGAAAAAGAAAAAAAAAAAAAAAAAAGGCCTGAAGAGAGCCCTAGAGGGAGCGAAAGGAGCCTCTTTCATCTGCCCTTCCCCTGCTCTGTGCTTTCTCCTTTCCTACCTCCCAAGAGTGTAGAGTATATAAAACTCCCAATAGATCCTGAGAATAAAGTTCCCAGGAATATCACTGCTCTCACCTAAGTGAACATTTTTCCTAATGCAGGGTTGGGCTACAGTCTGAGAAATCCACAAGCAATCCCACGCACTGCAGTTCCAAGCCACTTCAGTTTTCCAGCAAATGGGCCTAACCTCAGTGACTTGAAGTGTGGGGTTTAAGTGAGCCCGTGAGCACTGAGACGTCTTCAAACCAAAGCCCCCTGCCCCAGAGGTTTTTCCTCATCAGGGTCTCAAGATCAGTCTGGCTGGTCCCTCTCAGCAGCTTTTCTCTTAAAGGACACCTGAGAGCACTTCTGGTTCATGCCCTATACACCCCTGCAAATCTACCCCCTCTGAAATGGGGCAAGGCAGCTACTTGGACTCCATCATTAAAATGCAGCAAGTCACAGCTCGCGGGGAAAGTGAGTGAGGTGGGTAAATTCGAAGAGCCTGGCTGTGAAAGCAGCCAGGGACCAGCACGCTCCTGAGCCCCGGGGCTGGCCCGAGGTTAAACGCCTTAAAACTTGCCAGTCCTGGGCTCAGTTCTACTTTCGAAGGAGAAAATCTGTCCTCATTCAGCCAGGCTGCAAGTGCCTTTTGACTTTTAACGTTAACTACCCTCCAGAGCCTCCCGGGTCAAGGAGACTATGCCATACTCTGTCCCCAATCTTCCTGCAGCCCAGCACCAGTCATTTTAGTCTTCCAGCTCTTCAGCTGATCTGCTGACTTGGACATAGGACTTCACTGGAACTTTTAGGCTTCCTAGTCTGGAAATATTTTGAGGTTCGTCTTCTCACGGCTGGATGGCCCGTTTCCTGGATTTATTATAGAATTTAGAAACAAGTCCAGAAGAGGAGGTTGGGGGCATGGCATCTGAAATTTTAGCCTCCATTCCTGTGAGAATTGTGTACCTATCCTGTCCTTCTGTGTGTTTATCATGTAATCCTAACACTCTCAGGTAAGAGAATGATGGTAATATCTTGCTTGCAAGCTTTTTCTCGAGGCCCTTTGCTTTTATCAAGTGCATATCAAATATTTTCCACCCGAGAAAACATTCTAATTTGTAGCTAATTTGTGCCCCGAGACTATATAAAGCGCTAAGCCTGGTACTTAAATGAGGCATTGTCCTTTAGAGCAGGCCTGTTGGTGGTGATAGTGCCATCACTCCAGGTGTGCCTGAGATGCTTCTCTGGTGATGGCCCTCAGCCCACTGACAGCCTTACAGCTCCGCTCGTTGCTTTTGCCACACCTCATCCCAGTCCAAGGTAGTACTATCCAGTGGTTACCGGACTTGCCTCTCGATGTCTTCCAGCTGTTTTCAAATATCAGTGCTTTGCCATCAAGGAGCATGTTCCAGAGCATTTCCCAGAGGCTCTAGAGATGTCCCAAAGAGGACTGTCCTGTGCTGTTCGGTGCAGTGGCAACAGCATTAGACTAGCTGGGGCTTTCCGGCCGACTGCTTCAGAATCAGCACTCATTTAACTAGATACATTCTCAGCCGCCTTAAAAAATAGTCTTGTAGCCTGACAAGCATATCTGACGTTCATCCAAAATGAAGTGATCTTCACTTACTAAGGCTAAGCCTTGGATTTTAAGGCTTTGTGTTTCCTGGGCCACAGTGGGTGATTACTAATAGAAGGAAGCTGGGGCCTGCAGGGGCTTTGGGCTGTGCGAGAGTAAACACTAAAGCTTGAGTTCCAGCCAGCTGGCAAGTATGGAAGTCTTTTTTTTTTTTTTTTTTTTTTTTTTTTTTTCCTCTCCGCCTGTTGTATTCTTTTTTTTTTTTTTTGCTGTACGCGGGCCTCTCACTGCTGTGGCCTCTCCCGTTGCGGAAAACAGGCTCCGGATGCACAGGCCCAGCGGCCATGGTTCACGGGCCCAGCCGCTCCGTGGCATGTGGGATCTTCCCAGACCGGGGCATGAACCCGTGTCCCCTGCATCGGCAGGCGGACTCTCAACCACTGCGCCACCAGGGAAGCCCAAGTATGGAAGTCTTTGAAGAAGGTAATGCAAGACGGGAAAAGGAGAATGCAAAGCTTTTTGTACTGAGTGAGAGTAGGAGCCCGGCCAGCCAGTAGGACCAACGTGGACAATAAGAAATGCTTGTTCCTGGACTTCCCTGGCAGTCCAGTGGTTAAGACTCTGCACTTCCAATGCAGGGGACGCGGGTTCGATTGCTGGTCGGGGAACTAAGATCCCACATGCCTCACGACGTGGCCAAAAAAAATGCTTCTCCCTGTGGATGAGCCTCTGAAAGGGACATTCCGTCTCCATTGTTCCACTCTGAGGGGCACTGCCATCTAGAGATTAGCCCACGAAACTGGAAGAAACCCTTTGGGATGGTGGGTATCCAGTTTGCTGTGCATCTGGCAGGATCTGTGGATGGTAGGGTAGGGATCCCCCAGCTGGTCACAAATATAAATGGGGCATATAGAAAGAAAACTAAGGACAGATTACTTTCCTACCTCTGAGCCTTCTTTGGGAAGAACCATGGAATGGTGACAATTATCTGAAACGTTTTAAGCTCCCTCCTTGAACTCCTGTCCCTGAGGAATCAAATGACCAAGCCACCCCGGATTTCCCCAGGAGGTGGAGTGATGCCAGAAGGGAAGAGAGTGAATGGCGCCTCTGCCTTCCCAGAGCCACCAGAATGAGACTGGTTGCACGGGCTGTGTCGTGTTAAGTGTGTAAAAAGCTATACATTCTTCTCTGTTCTCATTTCGTTTCTGCGTATGGATGAATAAAGTGACATGGAAATTATTTGAAAATCCTGGAAGGAAGGTACTTTTCAAATACAGTATTTTTTTCAACCAATAAACTTACTATTTTTATAGCACTGTTTTTGCCAAGAGTTGTGAAATCACTTGTGTACATAAGGAAGTGAAGATTACATGCTGCCCTAAAGTCATTCAGCAGCGCAGAATCCGCACTTGAAATCTCATCTCTTGTTCTGCCTATTTTAAGAACTGTCCTGGTTGGAGCATAACAAGTAGACTCACGTGGCATTAGAGCTGGAAGGGCCTTTTAAAGACATCTGGTCCTACTTTTTACCTGATACGCAACTCCTCCCTACCGACTACCCATGAAGAGCCCTTCTGTCTTGGGCTAATTCTCTATTTTAGGGATGACACCGATTGTCATGTTAAACCCAAGTCTGCCTTCTTGTCAAGGCTCTGGGGTGCTTGCCTTACCCCTACTTTAGGATAGAACAGCCAGTTTAGAACCTGAGTAGCCTTCTCAGGCCTTCCCCATGATCGTGGTGGGAGAGGAACTGAAACCCAGCTCAACAGGTGATAGTAAATGTTAAGAATTGCAAAGCTTCCAGGGGCCTTCTCTGGTGGTCCAGTGGTTAAGACTTCGCCTTCCAATGCAGGGGGTGCAGGTTCCATTCCTCGTCAGGGATCTAAGATCCCACATGCTTCCCCGCCAAAAAACCAAAGCATAAAAAACAGAAGCAATATTGTAACAAATTCAATAAAGACTTTAAAAATGGGCCACATCAAAAAATATATATTTAAAAAAAATTGCAAAGCTTCCAGAGCAGTAGGAAATGCTGAGCGTTCACGGCACCATTGGGCAGATGAGAAAAAGGTGCCTGCTCCAAGGAGAACACCCCTGGGCAGGAACTTGGTGCTTCTTGGTAAATTAGAAAGAGGCACTCCCTTGTCCTGGGGCACAGCATGGCCAGCAGACGGACTGGATTTTACACCCCCCCTGGTCCTTCAGCCAGGTATCCTTGTACAGTGATCGCTGTGCACTGCCATACTTCTTGACCCTGGTTTAACTACTTGTGCTGATGCAATTTGGAAGAGGGCCCTCCAACAGGTTTCCTGTTTGCATTTTTACCTTCCACTAGGTCCAGAAAGGTTTCTCCCTCAAGCTGTCGTCCAGTTAGTGTATCTTCTCCATTTCCCCCATGGTACAGGGCCCCGTTTCTGCCTATTATATTTGCTTCACCAGTGCTGCCGAACTTAAGCTCCCTGGTTCCCGGCAGCCTGGGCCCATGCTCCCTTCAAGTAAAGGTCTGTCAGCCCCAGTGTCGTCTCACAAGGGCTCCAACAGATATGCTGGGCTGCCGTTTAGAGTGCCAGGTACACTTCCGGTGTGTGAAAGGAAGATTTCCTGCTCTTTCAATCATGAAAAGAATGTCTAGGAGGGCACCCTTGGCCTGTTAAGTGTGGATGAAGAATGTCTCCTGCCGTATCAGGAAGAAAGATGTGACCATCAAGCCTGCAGCCATCCCCAGCTGTGCACCCTAAGGGGATTCAGGGTGGAGAAAAGCAGGATACTGGCCCTAGATAGTTAAGGTGCATATCAAAGGAATGATTTCAATGAGCCCAGACTCTTGTATCTTACCATACATAGAAAAGCGCTAATTCATTAACTTGAGGTGTCTGTTTACTGGTCTTTAATTAACAGTAAGCTTTTGATATTACAAATACCTGGGTTTTGCAAAAACTCCCATCCTGGCTTCTCCCCTGCTGCTCTGGAGCAGTCCCTCAGAGGTATCCGAGAGGCTTCCTCCAGGGCTTGAGTCCTCAGAAAGTCTACCGAATAAAACAATTCTCAACTTTTAGGCTGTGCCTTTTTTTCATTCAACATAAATTTTGGTGAAGCTGTTGGGTAACTTATCCTCACAGTATCCTGTTTGCTTTTTCCCAGATTGCTCTGGGTCTCCTGCCTTGCTCTCCTCTTTTGCCTCCCAACACCTGGCCAAGTGTGTCTACTTAGAATGGATATTGTTTCAAGTGAGTGTTCAGCAGTCAGGAAACACATTTTGGACACTAACTTCTGGAGAGTACACTGTGTACTTGTACCCCTGAAAATAAAACGTATCTGATGAAAGTAGCCCTCCTCCAGAGTTTGCTGAGCCGAGGGAAGCAAAAGCGCGCTAGTTTCCTAAGGAACAGCTAAGGCTTGTGCTTGCTTCTCTGCAGACCCGCCTCGCCTTGGACAGCGGCAGGCACGGGGTGCCACACGGAGGGAGGCTGCCCGAAGTCACTGTCGGCCAGTCCAGGCTGCAAAATGTGCGCGGCGGCTGAGGGAGGCTTCCTCCAGCCACGTGCGCGGTGACAATCACACGTGCAGCGGGAAGGCAGTGCACACCCAGAGCTCCCCGCCTCCCGAAGCTTCCCCCGCAGGAGCAGGTAGACGGGACTATCCTTTTAGCATCGGTGTCAGAGCCTCCGCTGGGGTCCCACGCCACCGCCCTCTGCGTCCAGGTCCTCAGAAGTCGGGGCACCGCCCACCCTTCCAGCGTGACGCGGGCGCGAGGGCTCGGGAGTTGTAGTTCCCGGCTGGGCGCGAGCGCCAGGGCTGGGGCGGCGCGGACTCCACGTCCCGGCGGGCGGCGCGGCTCGGTCCGGGGCGCCGGGGGAGGGGCTGCTCGGCCCTTTAAACCATTCTGGGCAGCTCCGAGGGCCGCAGCCGGGGACGGCGCCACGCGGGGGCCGAGCAGACGCGGCGGCGGCGGCGGGGCGCTCCGGGGAGGTGCGTACTGGGCCCCTTCGTCCCCCGGCCCTGTGGAGGCGCGGGTCTCCGGATCCCGGGGCCTCGCGGACCGTGGGCTCCGGGCGCCCATGCGGGCGGGAGCGGGCCGGGCTGAGCTTCCCGCGTGAACCCGCCCCTTCCCCGCGGCGCTGGTGGTCAGGTGGCTGCCTGCCCCCCGGCCGCCTCTCCACCCAGCCCCGGATCCCCTCTCAGGCTTTCCTTGGCGTGGCCCCCTGGACTGTCCTGGCTCCAGCCCCTCTCCCAGCCCGGGACCCTCAGGCCAGGGAGAGTGGCTCCTTTTCCAGATGTTAGGGCCCCGCGGCGTTTCTGAACATCTGGGTGGAACGCGGAGGCCTCCGGTGGATGCCGAAGGGTGTCCACGTTGCGGTGGGGGCTCAGCCCAAAGTGTGGGCGCTCAGAGCCGCAGCGGGAACCCTGCATCTGGTGTTGACCACCTTCCTCTCCCCCGCACCGGCTTTGGCCAGTCACTAGACCCTGGACTTTGACCTGTCTCTCTCCACCAGGCCCGGGCCGCTGATGGTTCTGGCGAAGTACCTTAAGGTAGCTGGGTCCACACCCTCTTCCCCACCTACCTCTTGTCCTCCCCCCACACCACCACCACCCTGGCTCCCCTCCCTCATGACCGCCTGGATCCTCCTTCCTGTCAGCCTGTCAGCATTCTCCATCACTGGCCTATGGACTGTGTGAGTAAAGAGGGGGATGGGGGGAGGCAACTAGGGGACAAAATGGACCCAGGCTGAGGAGGGACAGGACCCAACAGGAGCCTGATGGCACACACAAAGTCCCTTGTCCTGCTGCAGGCTCCAGGGTGGTACCCAGGGCCACTCTGGCTGTCTGCAAAGCCTGGCCTGGTGCCTGGGCACACAGCCCCTTGGGACAAGCTGGCACCACTGCTGTCCAGCAGGGTGGCCCTGACAGACACACTTCTCGCCAGGGCAACTTCCAGAGGTCCTCTAGTTTGGGACTAGGCTGTGGGTTCTAGAGTAGCATCAAGCCCCAGGGCCACCCCAACTTGAGTCCCCGGAAAGGACAGTAAGGCTGAATGGGGGCAGAATCAAAGGAAAAGAGTCAGTGGGAGAAGGCTGGGTGCATCATGGGGCAGGGTGACAGTTGTGCTCCCGCAGGTATGCCATGGCCGTGATGAACCACCACGTGTGCCCCGTGGAGAACTGGTATGGCGCACTCTGCAGACAGCCTCACTCTAAAGCTCCCTTCATCTCTGTTCCCTCTGGGGCCGGGGCTGCCTCGAGCCAGATGGAGACACTGGGCCTCACTGCTCTTCTCTGACATTGGCAGCGCCTGCCCCTCCCCAGGCATGGCTTTGTGCCCACCTACTTGCTTCCCACCGTCATTCGCCCCTTTGGCTTCTGTCTCAGGGGGGCCCTGGGAAGTGGGCTCTTCTGCCCCTGCCAAGGGAGGTCTGGGAGGGTGGTCTGTGAGAGGCCTGAGGCTACAGGCCAAGGGCCTGGGGGAACCCCTTTCCCCCAGGCTACTCTCTGTCCTGCCTGCCAGGTCCTACAACGAATCCTGCTCTCCTGACCCCACTGAGCAAGGGGGCCCCAAGACCTGCTGCACCCTGGACGATGTCCCCCTCATCAGGTAAGGCCTAGAAACCGCGCAGGTCACAGAGACCCAAGGCCCTGCTAGACTCCCAACTAAGCCCCCCCAGTAAAGGCCTGTCCTTGGGCCTCAGGAATAATAATTCCATTAAGAGCACTTAATTACAATATTACTTACCAATTACTATGTACCGGACTCTGTGCTGAATGCTTTACATGCGTAGCGGCTTTTAATTCTCCTAGCACTGAGGCAGCTGTTGTTTTCACCGTTTTATAGGCAAGGAAAGTGAGACAGAGCTATGTCATCCATCCAGGTCCCTCAGCTAGTAAGTGGAGGCACCTGGATTTAAGTTCAAGCTCTCTGTTTGCCCAGCCCAAGTTCTGGCTTAAGGGAAGCCAGACCCCCTGCAGGCCTTGACGGTCTCAGGGAGTCTGCTGGTCTCAGGGAGTCTGCCGAGCAGTCCTGGGCACCGCCTACCCCAGCACGCACACCAGCTCTGCCTTGGGGGGAGGTGCGGCCAGCCTAGGGCCAAATGTTTGTGAGGGACCCTGGCCCTTCTCATCAGTCGGGCTTGCCTGCCAAAGAACAGGCAGAGATAAGGCAAGGGAGAGCAGGCGGGCCAGAACGGGGCCTTCCGGTGCTCCTGGCCGCCCCCTCACTCTGTCCTCGCCCCCTCCTCTCAGCAAGTGCGGCACATACCCCCCAGAGAGCTGCCTCTTCAGCCTCATTGGCAACGTGGGTGCTTTCATGGGTGAGTTGTGCCCTTGGCCCGACCACCAACCCGCTCAGTCCCGCCCGTCCTCACACCTGCTCCCCAAAGAGGCCCAGGACACCCTGGCCTCGTGCCGCCTACCCCGCCACAGGCTAAGGCCAACGGAGCCACTTCTCTTCCATTCCTTGAACGCCCAAGGCTGACTTGCACACGGCCATGCTGGTAGGGCACACCACCCGCCTGTCCGTTCCCTTCCTGCCCTCAGAGTATCTGGGGAAAGCTGGTGGGCTCGCTGGGCTGGGCTGGGCCAGGGCCAGAGCCGGCCCCACCTGTGCTCTCTTCCCCCAGTGGCCCTGATCTGCCTACTGCGCTACGGGCAGCTCCTGGAGCAGAGCCGTCATTCCTGGGTCAACACCACGACGCTGCACCAACGCTGCGGGCCTGGTGGTGGTGGGCAACTTCCAGGTGCGCCCGCCCGCCCACCTCTTGCACTTCCCCGAAGGGGGCCAGGCTTTCGGCGGGGGCCCTCAGTTTCCAGAGGGTTGACTCAAGCTGCGGGTCTGCCCCTCAAGTTGGGGGTGGGAAGAACAGGGACCGGGAGGGGAAAAGCCCGGGAGGGAGGGACGGAGGGGGGTGGGGGTGGGGCTGCCTCACGGGTCAGCCCCTCTCTCCGGGCCCAGGTGGATCACGCTAAATCTCTGCACTACGTCGGAACCGGCGTAGCCTTCACTGCCGGGCTGCTCTTTGTCTGCCTGCACTGTGCCCTCTCCTATCATGGGGCCACTGCCCCCCAGGACCTGGCTGTGGCCTACCTGCGGATTGTGCTGGCAGCCATCGCCTTTGTCTCTCTGATCCTCAGTATCCTTCCAGGACAGGGCGGCCAGGAGCTCCTCCTGTAGCCCAGGCCCTCTCCCACCCAAGATGGGGATCCACCCCCACCCAGGGTAGTCTTCTGCCCCCCTCTCCCGGGAGGTGAGGCCTGGTCCTCGGCCCCAGCCTAGCCACATATCCGGGAAGGCAGAAAGGGTGTTGCCAGGCTGCCGCCCATCCCACTGAACGTTTCCTTAGCCCCATCCCAGGCGGGGTCTTCTTCATCCACGAGAGTTCTCAGCTGCAGCACGGGGCAGCCCTGTGCGAGTGGGTGTTTGTCATCGACATCCTCATCTTCTACGGCACCTTCAGCTATGAGTTCGGGGCAGTCTCCTCGGAGACGCTGGTGGCCACGCTGCACCCTGCCCCCGGCCGGGCCTGCAAGTCGTCCGGAAGCAGCAGCACCTCCACACACCTCAACTGTGCCCCTGAGAGCGTCGCCATGATCTGAGGTCTGGGGATGGTGGCTGGCCCGGCCTCCGCAGCTCCCCACCCCCGTTCTCTCCTTTGCATTTATTTTGTACCAAAAAACGATTTTGAGAAAGTATTCTGTTGGGACAGAGGCTTCCTCCCTCCTGGAGGAGTGGCCATCCCACACCCACCTGTGCCATACAGGAGCGGGCCCTGGCAGCTGCCCAAGCTGCGCACAGCCTGCTCCCCACACCGCAGTGTTATTTTTATGTTTTAAAGGTCACGTATCCTCATTCACCCAGCCAGCCCTTCAGGTGCCTTCTACTCCCCCAGTGCCACTGGGGTTTCCTGCTGCAGGAATTGGGGGCTGGGGACAGCAGTCTGGGCGGGGGTGAGCACTCCTTGGTCTGTGGGAAGGCCCACTTCTGGGCCCACTGAGCTGCACTGGGATTCTTCACTCTGTCCCTTTCTTTAGGGCAAATAACAGCAGAACCGCGTGGGTATTTTAGTACTTTTTTTAATATATATATCTATTAAAAGAATTCTAATTTGCATGTTTGTAGTCTGTTCTGGAGAGTCGGAGAGGGCCTGATCCTGGCTTTCCCTAGGCAAAGGATGGGAGAAAGCCTCTGCCCCCAGAGAGGGTCCTGAGTGCCCGCTGCTCGTTGAGAGCAGGACTGCCAAAAACAAGGGATGCCAAGTGCTATCCAAATATCCCGCAAGGGCTTGAAGCCCTGTCTGGGCCTTTAAACAGTCTAAAGAGCCAACTTGATCCTTTCACACTTCCTGTCCTGCTCAGAGTCTGGTTTGAAGCTTGATTCCACACTAAGGGATATGAGGAAGGGAGGATACAGAGAATAACTTGAAAATGTTTGTTAGAAGCAATCTTTGCAGTGACGCTAAATAAAGCCCCTGGGATTCTAAGGTTGACTAAAGATTGCAGGGGGAGGGAGAGAGATGGGCTAGTTTTTCTTTACCGTTTTGAAGTAACTACTGGCTGCCAGACCCTGACACATTTTGCTTTCCAACCGCAGACACAGAGGCCCAAGCCCTGGCTGGTCCGGTTGGTGGCCAAGTTCTTGACCTGGGCCCTACTTCCCTGAGGCCAGCAGGCTTGGCAGAGAACGCTACGCAGCCTGGTACCTTCTACGGTTCAGGACCACCTTCCCCCATAGCAGTAGAGACCCACTGGAGGGTACAGAGTCCCTGCCCAGGCCTGTGAGCAATGGAGCGGCTGGATGGGTAAAGAAACTTTTAATGAGAATTCGAGGCAGAAGAGGAAGGTGGTGTGGAGGAGGACTGGTGTGCCGTCCCAGCCACCTCATGTGTACATGGCTCCATGGAGGTTCTCGAGTCGGTGCTTCTGCTGCTGCTTGCGAGCCTGAAGGAAAGAGGGCACACTGGGCGGGGGCCGTACCCCAAGGCCTGTGGGTGAAGGGACAGAGCAGCCACCGTGGGGCTGGCTCACTGTTTTCAGGCCCTGGGCACCTGCGATGCCAAGGCTCTTGCCCCTCACTAAAATCACTGGGAAGGCCGCCAGAGTCAGGGACCATGAGGCCTACTCAGGCCTGCTGAGGTGGGGAACGAGAGCATCAAGGACGGACTCAGGAAGCCCCGTCACCACCCACTCCACTTACCCAGCCCCCTACCTTATCTCGTCTATACTCCTCATAAGTGTCATCATCAGTGGGCAGCTCGTGGCGGCACAGGGGGCAGGAATTTGTCTGGGAAAAGCAGCGCAGTGTACGAGCCCAGGTCTGGTCTTGATAAGCTAAAAACCATCTCCAGCTCCCAAATCCCACCCCTATCCCTCTCCTGTCTCTGATCCCCCCGGTAGTCCATAAACAGAAAGCGGCTTGAGAACTGGGCCCAAGGCAGGGTGAGGGCTGGGGAAAAGGAAGCAGTACCTTGCTCAGCCAGGGCAGGATACAGTTGGAGTGGAAGAGGTGATGGCAAGGCATCTCAATGGCAGTCTCCTCCTCCTCAAATTCCAAAAGACACACGGGGCACTTGAGCTCTTGAGGAGGGAGTGCTAATCAGGAGAGCTGCTATAGGCCCTACCTCCCAGCTCCCATTCCTGAAGGACCCTTCTTGCCCCAACCTGGCCTGCAAAACTGAAGGGCCAGACCATAGTCTGGCTTCCAGAGGGGGTGGGTCTGGCAGACCTGACCCAAATAGTGGAAAGAATTAGTGTTCTCACCAGCCTGAGAGCCCCTGATGACTGTCCTGGGGAGGTTCTCAACTGCAGTCTTGGCAGCAGGTGGAGGCAGGTGGTGATCCCAATCTACTACCAACCCCAAGTCTTCGAAGTCCATCCTATTGAAAAGGGACCTGGGAAGAAGAATCCAAGGTCAGAACCAAAGAAAAATCATACTTTCGGGGCTTCCCTGGTGGTCCAGTGGTTAAGAATCCACCTGCCAATGCAGGGGACACGGGTTTGATCCCTGGTCCAGGAAGATACCACATGCTGAAGGGGAACTAAGCCCGTGCACCAGAACTACTGAGCCCGTGCTCTAGAGCCCACGAGCTGCAACTACTGAGCCTGTGTGCCACAACTACTGAAGCCCGTGTGCTCTAGAGCCCGCGTGCCGCAACTAGTAAGCACACGTGCCGCAACTACTGAGGCCGCGTGCTGCAACTACTGAAGCCCTTGCGCCTAGAGCCCATGCTCCGCAACAAGAGACGCCACTGCAATGAGAAGCCCGCACACCGCAACGAAGAGTAGCCCCCGCTCGCTGCAACTAGAGAAAGCCCGTGTGAAGCAACGAAGACCCAGCATGGCCAAAACACAAAAAACAAAAAAACCCATACTTTCTCATTGCCCCCGCAGTCCACTAAGCATTAATAGATAAGTACTCTGCCCAGCTACTAGTACTAATAGCTACCCCTCAGTAGTGCTCACTACATAAAAAGCACAGCGGGAAATGGCTTACAGCTGCCATCAGACAACCCCAAGCACGCAGGCTGTTTATTCCCATTTTACACATGAGGCAACAGCTCGGAGAAGTTACCCAGGCCACGCGGGAATGACCTGGTAAAGCCAGATTCCAAGTGGCAGTGTGGCTTCCATGCTTGGACTTCCTAACGAATATGCCTACTCACAGCCACACGGCCCCTACCCCGCCCCCATGACCCGCCTATTCCAGTACCTCCTAGAGCCCACTGCCCTCCGGCCCCGACTCCCCCGACTCGCCAGCTCGTCTTTTCCAGAACCCCCTTGCCCGGGCCCCTCCAAGGACGATCCAAATTATCGACTTCCCCCGAATCTCACTGGAACTAACTCTCCAGATTATTTATCCGTCCTCCTCTGAATCTACTGCCCCAGATAATCCGCCTTCTCCAGCCAGCTTCAGCCCAGAAACCTGCTGCGTGAGCCCTACCTCCAAGCCCCGCGCACCCACCTTGCGAGCTCCAGCAGCATGTTGGTTCGGGAATCCTGCTCGGGGTGCAACGGCTCGCAGTCGTGTTCATCGAAATAAGACGCCATGGCAGCGGGCCTGACACAGCCCTCAGACCCCGCTGCACCTCAGCCTCGCGGTGCTGGCCAATAAACTGGCGAGTTGAAGGAGGGTGGCCAATCATAGCACCCGAAAGGCGGGCACAGTGGCTCTTTCGCCTCAGGGAAAGCGGAAGTATTAATTTTCTCACCTTTCATTGGATCGATTAAGTCAGGTGACCAAAGGCTGAAACCAATGGCAGGGGCCGGGGCTGGTCAGAAAATTTTCGTCTTGCAGTCCCAGCCTAGAGTAGGTTCGTGGGAGTGACGTGTGGATCGCGTCCCTAGAGCCCTGAAAAACCAAGGGTCTGGGCTGTAGGGGTCCTCCATCCGCTCTGCGGCTCAGAGAGTCTCGGCAGGACAGATGTCAGAGGTCTCTCAGAGAGAGAGAGGGAGGCCCTGGCCCAGGGATCATGGTTCTGCGAGCCTAGGGAGGCCTGGTGTCAGGGTGCTTCCCGCTGCTCTGTCGCGGCCTCGCCGGGCACTTCTGCGCTCTAATTTGTTCAGGACTTGGCGCTTCACTCCTCCACGACTCCCGCAAAACAAACAAATATTCCCTGCGCATTTCTTCTGTGTTAGGCACAGTAATAAAGGGTGGGGCAGCCTCCCCAACCGAGAGGAGGACGATCCCTGCAGGGGAATCTGGGGCCTTACCAGCTCATGGAACTATCTGTGTGACCTTTAGCCCATTGCTCAACTTCTCCCCCAGCTTCTGTAAAACCAGTGGCTTGAATTGAACAAGTGGTTTGCATCCCTGGCTACCCATGAATCTCCTGGAGAGAGAAGAGGAGGGGTTGCAGCTTTAGGGAAAAAACCAAACAAACCGTGTCTGATACTTAGCCTCAAAGATTCTGATTTAACTGATCTAGGCCTGGGAGTGGTATTTTTTTAATAAGCTCTACCGGTGATTCTGATGTGAGGCAAGGTTGAGAATGACTGCACTAAATGATTTGGATGAAAGCTAGCATTTGGTTGGCATCTAGAACCATTACATTGAGAGATATTGTGCATAGGGTATAAATACTCCTCAGGGTCATCCTGGGAACTAGTATCATTATCCCTTGTTACATATGTAAAACCCAAGTCCGCATTCACAGGGCCTCTTAGTGGTGTTGCACACCTAAGTGCAGCACCGGGTGCTTGCCTCCATCTTCCCCAGGAAAGGCGGATGGCGGTGAGCCTAGCGAAAGTAACACGCTCTGTGCGGGTACAGCTCCACACAACTCCATGGTTTGTTCTTGTTTCTCCGTCAGTAGCCCTCACTCCACCTAACAAGGAACTGTTTCTGTTGCACACTTGACCCTGAATTCCCCTTCCCATCCACTCGAGTTTGACATGCACTTAAGGAGTGCAGGCAGTGGCTGCCCTGGTTCCCAGGTCTTGGTAGGGCCTTTACCCAAAGATCTTACTGGGTGCCCTGAAGGCATTGCCTCCCTGACCCTTTGAAAAGCCCCAATTCTTTCCCACAGGGCAAACTTTGTGACTCTGCATTACAGCACCATAGAAGGAAGCCCTTTCCCTTTCCTGCCACCTACCCCACCTGTGATCTGGTGTAAAGCTTGAAGGAGAAACTGGAGCAGAGATGCTCAAGGGGAAAAGTCTCTCTGAAGGTGAGAACCTTGTGATATAAAGATCTGGAAGTGCTTTCCTCTTTGTCATCCTATCTGGAGTCCCATGGGTCCTCTGAACATCCCAAGACTCAGAAGAATAACAGATTTCATTCTCAGGGAAACAGACTTGGAGGGCACTGGTTGAAGGGTCTGGTTTGGGGGCTGTTGTGTCTTTACACATGCACCCCAGAAGGATCTGTCTGTAGGGTTGGATCAAGTTGAGAAGGGAGAAGGGCCACCTCCCAAGGCTGGAGTCCTTTGGGACTTTCTGTTTTCCAAGCAGCCCCAGGGGTGGAGGCAGAGCAGGATGAACCAATCTGAAGACCTTCAAACACACACATACACACATACACCAGTTTTTAACCGAACAGCAGCTTTTAACCCAACAGCAGCTTTTACTAAGCTCCAGGTGGGGCTGCCCTGGCATGGCCAGCGCAGCAGGTTGCCCTCAAGGGCCAGTCTCTGGTGTAATAGGAAGTAACAAAGGTGCACAAGTTGCTGCTGCCCTCCCACGCTCACTGCTGGGGTGGCTCAGAAGGGAGCAAACTCCAGGGTTCTCTGAAGACCAGAACCGACCAGTGTGGCTATTCGGCCTCTTTTCCAGGCCCAGCTGTGTCATTCCCCAGGCCCTGAGGCAGCGCCTGCATCCTGGGCCTGTGGGGCACTGCTGCCCTTGCTGCTTTGCGGGAGAAACATGGCCAACAACACAATCAGGAGGATAATCAGACCACCGCCTACTACCAGCCCCAAGTAGATCCGGCAACGGACATTCTCCCAGCGCTTCTTCTGGGCCAGAGTCTTGGTTGTCTTGCTGAAGGCGGAGCTCTGTGGACACCCCCAGACACAGGGTAGGAGTTAGTGGTTTCCCCAGAGCCCTGGACCAGCTCCTTCCAACCCAGCCCCGACAAGGCCTAGTCTCCTCCCGCAGCCTCCCCAACCTGTCAGCTCCCTCTCTCTACTCAGCCTGCCCTGGGACCCTCCCAGCCTGACTCCTGGTCTCCCACACTGGTGTAGCCCTTGACTCATAGGCCTACAGGCTCACCCCCAGTTAACAATGCCAGTCTTCAACCTTTAGGAAGATCCACAGCTTCACACCAAGGCCTTCATACTTCATGAGACCTCCCCACCCATTGCATAGCTAGGCTAGGGATGCTTCAAGAAACCCACAGTCCCCACACTGGCCCTCAGGTGAGCCCCAGGCCCTACCAACAGCCAGCCGGGAGACCCTGAGCACAGCCTGAGAGCTCCCTCTGAGGGCCCCTCCTAGCCTCTCCCTCCCCCTCCCTGCTTCTCCAGGCCTCACACCATGTCCAGGAGTTGGTCTGAACGCTGTTCCAGCTCCGCCAGCTTCCCGTCGCGCTCCAGGACCTTGTCGAAGTTGTTGAGCATGATTTCTGTCACCTCATCCGCCTGCCGCTGGCACCGCTCCAACTCTTT